GTTTTCTAGCAGATGTTTTCAGCAGATGTTTTCTAGCAGATGTTTTCAGCAGATGTTTTCTAGCAGATGTTTTCAGCAGATGTTTTCCTACAAGTGGCGGAGTTTAAAGACAGGAAAGCATTAACATCGGGAGGATTTCCAAGACATCGGGTAGTTCGTGCCTAGAGCTCCGGAAAGCATTAATATTGGGAAGATTTCCAAGACATCGGGTAGTTCGCGCCTAGAGCTCCGGAAGGCATTAACATCGGGAGGATTTTCAAGACAGAGTTAGTTGTATGGCCAAACCCATGAGCTGAGGAAAGCTTTATAAATAGCTCATCAAAAGAAGAGAAGAGGACCTCCGACAAAACACACAAAATCTATCTCTTTATCCTGTACTTTTCAATTCATAGTCTAGGATTTTATCTTTCAAGCTTTTCAGATTATCCAAGTTCTTCGTTTTCCTAGTGTAAGCTTTACATTCTTGCAATTTAATTTCAATTGTCTTTACATTCGAATTTAATTCAAGTCTTTATCGCTTTAATCTATTTTATCGCATTTACATTCCTGTCATTTTGTTTATCGCACTTACATTTCTGTCATTTCTTCTATTGCATTTACATTCATTACAAATATCACAAAAATCCTAAAAATAATCATACAAAGCTCAATCATCCTTGACCTCAAGGAAGAAAAAGAACCTAGGCCAAGAGGAGGTTCCTTGCTTGGCCGATCAATCGTTTGATTAAAAGTCAGAAGCGCAAACACATTCACACGATTTTTCCATCCAAGCCATCAAGTGGCTTGGTGGTGGCACGCCTACGCATCTCAAGAGAAGAAGGACCAAAAACTCCTTCCATCGGCCTACCCGGCCGAAAAGAGGGAAACAGTTATAAATCATTCAGATTTAATATTGTCCACACCACACCACAGACCACAGACCACAGACCACAGCACATTGTTCTCCTATATTTGCTCTCTCGTGTTCTGTTATTGCGCTACAGCCCCCTCGTATCTGAAGGAGAAGCAAAAGGGCAAATCATTTTAAAGTGAGAGGGCTTGCTTATATCATCATGCATGCACCATCAAAACCGAAAAAAAGAATTATAGATCCATTTTCACAGCGTTATAACTTAGAGGAACACGCACAAGTTCCTATGGATGTCCATGTGAGATTGGTCCAATTCTCTGTAAAGTTCATGTGCATCAAGTTGCATGGGCGACGCGTCAAGAATCCCACTCTCACCACGTATGCATATTGCAGCAGCATATATAGGTGGTTTTTCTTTTTCTCTTGTTTTTTGTTTTGGAATTGTATCTCATCTAATTTAAATTTGACTTCTCTTACACAGAAAAAAACCTATTTGCATAGATTAATCCCGTGAGTGATGCATAATTAAAGGTCCATTTTTCTTTTATTGGATTGGCAATGAAAAAGTAAAACAGAGTGTGATCCATGGGGACAAATTAGCCTATGAAGATTAATGACATGACACCTGTCATCTACTCATCCATAATCCATTGATGCACGCACCCTAATCAAACTTAAAATTGGAAGCAATTCTCTTCTCATTGAATCAAATATTCAAAGGGGTGAAAATAAAATAGATAGAGAAGCAGTCATAGGCATAGAATAGAAGCACAAACTTTCTCTGCCTATTCAATCTCAAGTCAAAATACTTTCAAAGCAGAACAAAACCCCCCAGAACTTCCATTTGCATATTTAACCCAAAATATCTCTCTCTCTCTCCCCAAAAAACTTCCATTTAGCTTTGCCATAGAAGACCACAGGCAGCAAGCAGCAATGGATCCACCACCTCTCCCACCTCTTCCCACCACAATCACCACCACAGCCATGGCAGCCACCAGCATGCAACTCAACTACCCTGACTCAGTTGACTCGTCCCCAAGGTCTCGAAATGTCGACGCATGGGATGAGCCTCTCCCCCAAATCCCAGGCGCCAAGCTTCGCCTCATGTGCAGCTATGGCGGCCACATCATCCCCCGCCCGCACGACAAGTCGCTCTGCTACGTCGGCGGCGAAACCCGCATTGTCGTAGCCGAACGCAGCTCCTCACTCTCCGACCTCTGCTCCCGCCTCTCCAGGACCCTCCTCCATGGCCGGCCCTTCTCTCTCAAGTACCAGCTACCAAGCGAAGACCTTGACTCTCTCATCTCAGTCACCACCGACGAAGATCTCGACAACATGATCGAAGAATACGACCGCACGGCTTCCACCTCTCCTTTGAAGCCTTCGCGGCTCCGATTGTTTCTCTTCTTTGCCAAGCCTGAAACTGCTGCGTCCATGGGGGCTTTGCTTGATGATGCAAAGTCCGAGTCTTGGTTCGTCGATGCGCTTAATGGGTCGGGTCTTCTTCCCAGAAATCTCTCGGACTCGGCCACCATGGATTGCTTGTTGACTGGGAGTGAGAATTCTTGTAACGATTTGGAGGCTCAAGGTGACTTCTTTGGTGACAACAACAACAACAAACAGGGTATTAATGGTGTGATGAAGAATGTTAATAATGTAGTACATGATGTGCATTCGATCAATCAAGAGTCTCCCTTTGTGGAGAATAGTAGTTCGTCTTTTGGGTCGTCTACTTCATCGCCTTGCTTGTCCAATTTGCCTCCGATTCGGGTTCGTATGGATGACAATGGGGCTAGATTGATGCAGAATGGTCACAAGGCTATTGGGATAGAGGAACAGTTTGCTCAAATGAGTACTGGTTTTGCTGCTGCTGCACCATCATTGGCTGCTAATTCTGGGGCTTTGCCGCCATCTGGTGCTCAGATGATGAATGCTGTGCCTGTTTCTGGAGAAAATGTGAACAGGGTCATCTCATCAGATGATGAGAGATCATCGGATCAGAGTGTGCCGGTTGGGTTTCGTAAGCCTCCTCTGCCATTACCTTTGCAGCCTTTGCAAGTTAATAAGGCTGGTGGTGGTGGTGGAGGAGGTTATAGTTTGCCTTCACCCGATTCAGTTGCAAGGTATGTACTTCTCTCTTTGTATCAGATATTTGTTTTAGCTAAAGATAATAGCTTCTATTTCAAAATAAATGCCATGGCACACACACAGATGGATTCTATGTACTCTTAAGCTGAAATAGGCCAATTTAATCTTGCTACTTTTGTTCAATGAATATGAAGAGATGTGCTTCTCTACTTTTAGGTGTAGGGGTTGATGAGAGATTTTACTTTAACAGAGAAAAGTTAGGAGCCAACCAGTTTTCTAATTTTTGTTTTGAGAGTTTGGAAATAGTAGTTGGGTAAATGGTTATATGGTTTGTCCCAATTGTCCAGTGATAGTAGTATTGCATCTGCAAACTCGCTCTCCAAACCAATATACTACCAAGAGCAGATCCAAGTTGCATCTAAAGAAAATACCAGAGGTCCTGTTAGTCCAAATACAAACAGCGATGCTTCCGATCTGGGTTCCCGAAGCCAAGTTCAACAAGTTCAGGATTCAGGGTACACTATGCCTCCACAATCTGATCAACAACAGCAGCAGCAGCAGCAACAACAACAACAACAGCAACAGCAACAGCAGCAGCAGCAACAACAACAATTTGTCCATGCCAGCACTCATTATATGCACCACCCTGCCACAGGTCAAGTGCCAATGCAATCTTACTACACGATGTATGCTCCATCACCACAGCAACAGCTTCATCACCAGATTGATCATCAGCAGTATCCAGTCTATTTGATGCCTGTTGCCCAGTCACAACCATACAACATGCCTTTGCAACCTAACATGACTGATACGACTGCTGTGGCCTCAAGCCGCTTAACATCCCAAAATCCTGCCTCTGCTGTTTACAAGGATAGTATTCCACCCATTTATCCCACAAAGACAACTTCACCTACTATGCCTGAAATGTCTGCAAGTGTTTATAAAACGGCTGTTCCACAAACTCCGTCATTAGTCCAAGTTCCTTCTAACCAATATCAGCAGCAGTATGTGGGTTTCTCCCAAATGCATCATCATCCTTCTCAGTCCATTGCTGTACCATCCTCTGCAACTGCTAGTTATGCTTATGAATTTGCAAATCCTTCACATGAACAAGTGTTCTACACCCAGCATCCACCTGCCCCATTGCCTCCTCAATATCAAAGTATGACTCCAGCAGCAGCAGCAGCAGCTGTAGCATTATCAGATGATTCGAAACAGCAGCTACCGACATAATCAGCAGCAGATCAAAACCACACAACAATAACTCACTAGGCAAGACAAAAAACATTTTGGTGGTATAAAGTTGGAAGTTTTTAATTTCATATTAGTTTTCTCTTCTTTAATTGATGGTTATATTATAGACATTGCTTCGATGCATAGGATTTTATAATAAGGGAATATATTTTCTTTTTCTGTCTTCTTTATGGTTCATAGATTAGAAGTTCTGCCTTAGTTTGTATGAATCTGTGTCAGTCATATTGAATAAAGATATATATATAGCTGTGGGAAAATGAGATCCATGTTAGTGACTACTTTTAGAAAGTACTTCGCTGTACTGATTTCACTAGGTATTTCCTAAAACGTGCCATGTTAATTGCCCTTGGCAATTGGCAAAAAAGATGGTCACTTTTGGGGCTTTGTTTGTAATTGAAAGAAGGCTTTTTATCACAAATGGTCCTTGACGTTTACGAAATTATCGCGAATGGTCCTTGAGGTTTTTTTGTGACACTAATAGTCCTTATCGTTTGGACTTTTTATCACAAATGGTCCTTGCCGTCAAAAATTCTGTTAAGTGTATGATGTGGAAGATAAGTGGAGCTCACATGTACAATCACATCGTGACATGTGGATTAAATAAATAAATAAATAATTTTTTTTTTATAAAAATCCATTAAAAAAACCATTTAGCCTCTCTCTCTCTCTCTCTCTCTCTACTCTCTAAATGGTTTT